GTCTGTGGCGGCAACTGTCCAAGTCTCTCATGCGTTACCAGAAGTACCAGCAGTTTGCTTCGCAAGCTTACTGCGTGGCCATGGGGCCAGTTTCAAAGATGGCGTTGCAGCAGGAGAAGGCTTTCTGTGTGCTCCATTTTGAGGAGTCCAGATCTGCGATTACAGTGCAGCGTGAGTTTCGTGCACGGTTTCAAAAAGACGCACCATACACGAATAACATAGGCAGGTGGTACTGACAGTTTGTAGAAACTGGATGCTTTTGTAAAGGCAAGAGTCCTGGTAGACCTCTTGTCTGATGACAACACTGAAAGAGTGTGTGAGGCATTTCAGCGAAGTCCCCGCAAGTCAGTGGGTAGACGAAGCAGGGAATTGGGCATACCAAAAATGATGGTGTGGAAGGTGTTGCATAAGTGGTTATGTTTTAAACTGTACAAGATGTGATGCAGGTCCTTAAACCAGCAGACAAAGAGAAAAGGTGTGACTTGTGTCAGGAGATGCTGTTGAAAATGGAGGAAGATGGGTTCGTAGAAAGACTGATCTTCTCCAATGAAGCCATATTCCACATCAGTGGCAAGGTGAACAGACACAATGACCATATCTGGGGAACCAAGCAACCACATGCACAGATAGAGCACCAACCTGACTCTCCAAAAGTCAACATTTTCTGTGTTGTCCCGCAAGAAAGTTCACAACCCATTTTTCTTCGCTGAAGCAACTGTGATTGGCAACTCATTTTTGGACATGTTGGAAAGCTGGTTGTTACCCCAACTGAATACCAATCATGATGATTACATTCTACACCTGGACGGAGTCCCCCCCCCCATTTTCACAGGAATGTACAAGTGTTCCTCAATCGTGCTCTTCCACAGCACTGGATGACACGTGCTGCTTCAAATGGAGACAAGAACCTTCTCCCTTGGCCACCCCGTTTGCCAGATCTTACACCGTGTGATTTATTTCTTTGGGGGTTCGTTAAAGACAGCGTTTATGTATCACCATTGCTCACATCCACCCATGAACTTCGTGATCAGATAACACTTGCACTTCAGGCCATTACAGCGGACATGCTACACCAGGTCTGGGATGAGTTTGATTACTGTGTGGATGTGTGTCATGTGACCCAGAGTGCACACATTGAAGGTTTGTAATTAACGCATGAGAAACTTGGACCATTACCATCACTGACGGCGTATGTTGTGCCCCTGCAAGTTGAGAAATAACTGTTACGATTCTTTTGTGTATACCCTGTATACATCATCTAAATCATATTTCATATTCTGAAAGAATACCACTATCCTCTAGTGACACCTAAGTTGTACAAATCTTTCACAGATGATATTAGCTTTGTCAAATGGGCCAAATAAAGTAGACCTTTCTCTACTGTGTCTACCTCAGGCCAGTCTCTGAAATGTAGCAACTGACAACTGATAAGTCCAAGTAAAGCCTCATAACGCTGGCATCACTGCAACAGCCAAATATCACACAATTTCCCATTGTTTTTCACAATTTATGATGGCTCATTTATGAAACAAAGTTTAATAAACTGTAACAGGAAGGGACTTGTGGATAAATGCAACTTGGCAGGATGGGCTACTATACTACCATATGGCATATATAAGGTACAGCTATCCCTGTAACAGGCCGTGGAGGCCTACAGGGTTGTGAGATGTCGAGGCTCCCACATTTTCTAGGCAGTCAGCTCACAGATGGTGGTGAGGTTATCGGCCTTACACATTGTCCGCCCTGACCCCCAAGAAGATTCATTTCTCTTTAAGAGTGAGTCAACCCCAGGGTCGTAGTGCAGCTGGAAGGATTAGGTCAATTGAAAAATCCAATAACCTCATCAGGAATCGAACCCGCAACCTTTCAGCTTGTAGCATAGTGTTCCATACTACAGTATGGGAACTGCTTAACTTTACTGTAGGCCAGCATTTGGTGAAATCATCTAAGGAACCACCCAAACAGTAATTAAAATTATATTCTGGAATCTGACATTTACTCAGGTAAACAGATACCAACATTCTGGAAGAACCTGCTGCCTCCATCTTCAGGGTTGATGGTCCATATGGCAATAGAAATATTTTCAAAATAATCATTGAAGCTTTTAACCACCCCCTTCCCTTTTTTATGTCACATTACAAACAGGGTTGATTTTGTCTGACATTTGTTTTTAATTCAGGGAAATTTTGCTAAGAAGCAGAACAGTAAATTGTAAATTCCTGTTAACTCTTTGACTGGCGTGAACGGTATTTAAAGCCCACCCCTGTCCTGGCAGGCCCTTTAAACCTTATGTCGCTAAAATGCATGTAGTTACTTTTTCCTAAACAACTTCAACAAAAATTGGTTTTTAAAAACGAAATTTTTAGGAACTAATTAAAATACAATATTTTATGCAATAAATGCCTTTCCATACCTCTTTATTAGTTTTTCTTCGTGTGATAAACATTGAAACATTAAAGTTTGCAGAGAGCCACACCACAGCCTGCATTCATGATACTTGTTTCTTTTCTAATCTTGTGCTTAGCACTCACGCGACACTTTCTCAGGGCACCATTCTTCTTGTTACTGGGAGGAACATGGACCATTTTGTGAATTTTCAAGCCACCCTCTAGACGATTTACTGGCTC